CGGCACATTAACGACAGCAACGGCGCATCTGTCCCTAATAATTTTTTGCAAATATACGTATATAGCAAAGCTCATCTATATCTATATACCTAATATTAAAGAGCCAAAATTTCAGTCCCTTTTTTTTGTCTAGCCTACCCTAAATAACTCCGTGAATATAGAAACTGTCCCTCTACAGCTATCTACAACCCTCCTATTTTATACAGTACATATGCAAGACTTCTTGGGTCAGGACTCCTATTCCAAATAGATTCTGATCATGAATAACCTGAATAGGAATTCTAATCTAAATAGAAAAGAATAAGAGTAGAAATTTGTTTTTTATTGTTTGTTTTACGTGTCCTTTTTTTGTTCTTTTTTATTTTATACCAACTGCAAACTCCCGTTGTTCTTCGTTTGTGACTAGACTAGCAGCGTACCCGTCCGTCTCGGAACCGAAGTCTACTGCCGGCCCGGCCTTGACAAGGAGGGAGGAACCAGGCAAATCCATATCCATCATCGCATTGATCGAAGAACAGCAGAAGAGAAGAAATCGATCGACGAGAAGGATCAGAGCCAAGGGCAGCTATACAGAGCGACGATCGTTGTATGTTGTTCATGGGGATCCAGCAGGAGCAGGTGGCCATGAGGGCCAATAAGCGTCGTCGTCCACCATTGCATGATGAGCACGACGAGGACCATTGTCGACTGCAAGGCGCGGACAACGACGATCAGCATCAGATGGAGCAGGTGGCCGTGGGGGTGAAGAATAAGCGTTGCCATCGATCGCATGATGAGCACGACGAGGACCACCACCATCAAGGCACGGACGAGAAAAAGGCCCGCCGGCTGCCAGTGCCATGGATGACGGATCACGAGATGGCAACCATGACGACAGTGCTGCCCAGATTCCTCACGGAGGAGTACACCGCCGAGGATGCCGCGAGGTTCGACGAGGACATGGCCCGTACAGACAAGATCCTCTACGAGTTCGAGGCTAGGGTCGCCTCCTTCGACCCTGCTACTGATCATAAGCTTGTGGTACCGTTCATCACACAGGGCCTGCTGCTGGAGGAGGAGGAGGAGGAGGTGGTGGTGGTGGTGGAGGTAGTGGTGGGCGACCTGCATGTGTCCAAGGCCACCATCAAGATGCCCCGGTCCTTTGTCGAGAGAAGCGGCTACCACCCCATCTCCGACAGGTTGCTGTGCGATCGCAGCCTCATCACACAGGCTGACGCCGATGAGGTCAGGAAGGGTGACTGCCTCATCTCCATGCTGTATGCGTGGACGTGGGGGGCGCCAGGGAGGTCCTGCGCCATTAGGACGCCAAGTGCCATTAGGACGCTAATTATGCTCATGATGCTTGTGAAAAAAAGTTGGCACGATCAGGTCATGACAAATGTGAACTCTCAGACTTTGTTTCCCTCTCATTTAGGGTCCCTTTGGTAGGGATTCGATGTGCTCTGGCTCCTACATTATACGGCTATTGTGCGTCAGAGGAGCCAGAGCCGGTGAAGAAAAAAAAAAAAACTGGCTCCACCGGCTATGTGAGAGGAGAGAGAAGAGAGAAAATGATCCTATGAATAGTGTCCCAACAGTGTTGCTATAGTAGCGGAACAGTGGACTTATCAGGTGGAGCCGGAGCTGCCGAATCCATACCAAAGGCGCCCTTAATTGGCCACCATCAAAGTCATGGATTCACACTCCTTTTTTACTTTGGTTTACAACATTGACCACTAGAATGGAGTTTCTTGTGACCTCCACGAATGCACGGAAGACCACAGTAGTTGTTTGAGCAAGTAGGTCAAGAAAAAGTATAGCCAACCCTGCTCCTTCTGGACTAACATATATGATTGATATTAGAAAAAAGAAGCGGATTTGTCGCTAATAATCTTTTGCAAATATAGTGGGCCGGCCGGGTGAGCCTGAACACTGAATCACCACCTCACCTCCACTCCGGCCGGGTTCGTTCTCACTTTGCTTGGTCTCCGCGCGTGTGTTTGTGAGAGAGACGAGAGGAGGGATGGGAGGCCTCACGAGTGCTGTGGACTGGTGGGAGGAGTGGCAGCTGCGTGTCTCAGCAGCCTGGCCGTTCAATTCCTTCTCTTAATCCTTTCCTTCTTGCGTAGGGTTGCAGTTCCTAGGTGGGTCAGGTCCATGACGTGTCTGGCGTACCTTGGCGGCGACGCGGTGGTCATCTACGCCCTCGCCACGCTCTTCAACCGTCATAAGACGGATCAAGATAACGGAGGCCGCAGCAGCAGCATGCTGCTGGAGGTGGTCTGGGCGCCCGTGCTTCTACTTCACCTTGGCGGACAAGACGGCATCACCGCCTACAACATCGAAGACAACGAGCTGTGGAGCCGGCACTTGCACACTGCGGTGTCTCAGGTCACCGTGGCCATGTACGTCCTCTGCAAATCCTGGCCGCCAGGGGGTGATGACAAGAGGCTGTTGCAGGCAGCAATCGTGTTGTTCGTCCCTGGAATTGTCAAATGCTTCATGAAGCCATGGGCTCTCAAGAATGCGAGCATTTATAGACTCGTCAGCTCAGCACCTGCTGAAAAACACGATGACTCGATGAGTATCCGCTCGAGTTCTATGTGAAACAAACAAAGGTTTCAGTGGAGGTGGCTCTTGTCCAAGAACAAAGTGACGATGAAGGTGATGAGGAGAAAGGAGCAAGCGAGCCCTGCTTTGTTGTGGAGCACCAAGACCGTCCAAGACGCAATAAGGAGGCCGATGATGAGCCCGGTACGTAAGGGTACTTGTACCTTGTTGTAGTAGACCGTAGATATGTATCTTCCATGCATGTCCGCGTTCCCGTTGCTTGGCTTATTGCGTCTTTTAATAAGTAGTATTATCTCACATCAAGCTAAATCAAAAAACTGAAACCACAATGGCAGGCGATCTAGGAGGGACTCCTGTCAGGGACGGCAATCATGCCCCATCACAATTTACATTGATCTGTGGACGTCTAAGGAGAAAGATTGAGACACGATCTCGCGGATGGCATCACACAAAGAGTAACACAAATGGAACAGTTTGAAGAGCAAGGTGATGCCTCTAAGCTGTTTTTAGACCTTTTAACTCCACGTAATCATCGACTAGGTATCCTTAGGCATTTCTGCCGGCTTAGCGAAAAGAGAGCTTATTGCTCCATCCGACGAGGACACGCTAGTGCGTTCCTTCTTCTTTACACCAAACTAAAGACTGTAGGGGCTTTCAAGGACAGTGATGACGTATTTGAATGTGGGTATATTTATCAGCAATATATACTGATCTCACGTGCGGTGCTACCTTGGGTAGCCATTGGCCTCTTCGACCACAGTCACAGAGAAGCTTATAATGATATTGACGTCAACATTACATATGCCATATTCTGTTTTGCTGCTGTGATTGAATTTTATTCCTTCCTCCATATTGTCAACATCATGAACTCGCCTTGGGAAGAGTGGCCAGAGATGGTCGCTCCATATAGCCTCATAGAATACTTTGCCCGCAACAATAACAGCAACAAGATAGGAATTGCAAGTTTGCTTGGATGCAAGGACTGGTGCATGGAGTCGTTTTTCTCGTCAAAGTTGGTTCATCGATATCTGTATGACGGGTGGAAGGAAAAAACACATGACGCTGCTACTTACCGCAGGTTCAACGACCACAGCAGCCAATGGGCGCTTGACGCTGAGAGCAACCACTGGAGCATCAGCAAATCTCTGGGCTTGACCACAAAGAGGCCATTCGATGAGAGTGTCCTCCTCTGGCACATGGTCACGGATTTTTGCTTCTTCTCGAGCCTGGTGGTTTCAGAGCATAGATGCGCCTTTGCTGAGGTCCCAACCATATTGACATGGATGACTAAGATACAACCTTTTTTTGTCAACCAACGTAATCTTCACAGACTTTCCACCTTTTTCTTAGTTTAGTACCTGATGAAACAAGAGAAAGGATCCGAGAAAAGGTTGCGAAATATCTTCCTAAGAAAGCGGTAGGGAAATGTGCCCGTGGGAATAGTTCATCTGTCGAGAACAACCACACTGGATCTCAATGCGGAGAAGAATTTGCAGCCTGTAAAGCTGTCCAGTGCAGACAGATGTCAAACTACATGGTGTACCTCTTGTTCGTTAATCCTGAGATGTTGTTGCCTGGCTCCAGGCGCAATCTCTTCACAACAGCTCACCAAGAGCTCGACCACATATTCATTGGTGTGAAACCACCACAGGAGAAGGGAGAGCTTACACTGAAGATTAAGAGCAAGCTAGAGTCAACATCACAAGGTTTCCGATATTCTTTCGTCCCTGAGGCTTAGACGCTTGCCCAAAAGTTGCAGGCGCAGAACTTAGGTGATGAGAAGAAGCTGTGGGAGGAGATCGAGAGCGTTTGGGTTGTGATGCTCTGCTTCTCCGCAAGCAGATGCAGAGAGGGTACCTACATGCCAAGGCTTTGGGGAACGGCGGCAAGTTCCTCTCCTATGTATGGCTCCTGTTGTTTCACATGAGGATGGAGACCTTCACCGACAAGCTGCAGAGGGAGGACCTTCCAAGCCATGAATCTGGAAGGGAGAATTATGTATTTGGCACTGCAACAAATCACTCTTTCGTATTTAGCACTAGAAATTTTGAACTTCCTTATCTAGCATCAACTTAAAAATTTCTTTTGTATATGGCACTTCGGTCCATTTTGACCATCCATCCATTTGTTGACTTCATCGACCATGTTAGTTTTTGTTGATAAGTACCAAAATGCTGTCACTCTCCCACCCCCACCCCCTCGCGTCCACCACCGCGCCGCGCCACCAGCGCACGCCCCGCGCCGCCGCCGCTCCTGCCGCCTTTCCTCACGAAGCTCAGCAGCTTCTTGAGCCCCTTGGACAGGTCCCTGTGCAAGTCGGAGAACATCGCCGTTGGCCTCTCCGGGCTGCCCCACCGCTTCCTCGCCCGCGCCTGCGGTGAGGCCAGCGCCGCTGTCTCGAACGGCAACTCCGACACGGACCGGACGTGGCGCGGCGCCTGGGTGTGCGCATGGGCGTGGCCGAGCTCCTCCTGCTGCTGCTGCTGGGGCAGCGGCCTCGGGGTGATGGCCACGTCGAGGGTTAGCAGGTCGTGCACCCGCGTCGTCCGCAGCCTGGGCGGCGCGGCCGCGCCGCCGGTGCCCGTGGCGCGTTTCAGGAACGGCCTCGGCGTGGTGCACTCGCCGAACTCGGCGAGCACGCCGAGGCTGTTCCGCCTCTGGTGGTGCGACAACGGCCTCACCGGGCTCCCTATCGCGTGCGCTGCCGCCTATCACCGTCCTGCTCCTCGGCAGCCGGGGAGGTGGAGGGGGAGGAGGAGGACCCTGCCGCCTCACGGCTCGGCGTCACGGTGGTGCGGCTCCAGTACGCCACGATGCAGGTGGTGGAGACCGAGTCCGGCAGGGCGCGCGTGGAGCTCGAGCTGGAGCGCGCCATGAAGAAGGCGGCCGGGGAGGTGGACGGGGAGGAGGAGGACCCTGCCGCCTCGCGGCCCGGCGTCACAGTGGTGCGGCTCCAGTACGGCGAGGTCGCCAAGGCGACCACCGTCTTCATGCTGCCGGTGCTTAGGGAGATGGACGGCGTCGCGGCCATGGAGTCGGCACCATGGCGGACCAAGACGGACGTGGACCTTGGCATTGTGGAGGTAGACAAGGCATGGTCGCGGTGGGCTGTGGTGCCCTGTGGCCGAGGCAGTGGATGACGCCGTCGTCGTCGAGCTGGCCGACAGCCGGAGGCTGCCGTGGCGGACGGACGAGTGCCGGTCATTGCCAACATGTTGCTGGTAAGGGTATATATATTATTTTATGTGGCACTTGACACTGTTACTCTATCAAATGAACGGAAGTGCCATATATCGAAGGAATTTTCAAGTTGATGCTAGATAAGGAAGTTCAAAATTTCCAGTGCTAAATACGGAAGAGCGATTTGTTTCGATGCCAAATACAGAATTCTCTCGATCCGGAAACCATGGCACCGCTCAATCTTCGACTTTTGAGGTCCGCACTGGCGCAGGTGCTCCATCGACTTCTGATTCCGAGGTCTCAACCACCGCCACCGCTCCATCAGCTTCCGAGGTCCACACCAACGCTGGTGCCCGCGCGCCGCTCCATCGACTTCAGAGATTTGCATGGCCGAAGATGACATGGTTTGACTCCTAGTAAATTAAATCAGAATTAATTTCCGGCCATTTTTTTCGTGATTACTAGCGTTTGCAAGTCTGTTTATGCCTTTGTGGACGTGCTAGGCTCTACTGTTCTTGCTCCTCATCTGTGTCACTGTTATTGTGTGTGTAATAAAAAAGCTACGTTATGTTGTTTGTTTACCTATTATATAATGCTCCTCATCTGTGTCAGGTGCCTTTAGATTTCTACTAAGAGTATAAATAGTCATCTCTTCACTTCTAACCGTTTCGGACTCATTTATAGCTGACCCAACTTCGTCCCAACAGCTCCCAAGAAAGAAAGGCACCCCTCTCCTTCCTCCTTTGCTCAAATCTTCGATTTCCCTAGGGTTTTGAATGAAAGGAGAGTGAATTAAGTGAGAGAATCACTTTGGCAAGCTTGAGCACTTGATTTCTTCGTCAAGCCGGTTGGTTTTGAGTCTATTACTCTTGGGGTCTTGCCCCTAGCCGGCTAGGCGTTGCCCAAGAGCTTCCATCTTGTGGAAGAGCCTTAGGAAGTTTGTATTATCCTTTGATTTCTTAGTGGAAAGCTCAAGTAATCTTTGTGGTCGCTTTGAAAGAGGCAAGGAGGTGGAATAGACTCCGACCTTTGTGGTCACCTCAACAACGAGGACGTAGGAGCTTCTTTGTGGGGTTGCCGAACCTCGGGATAAATCCTTGTGTCCTGTGTGCTTGTTGTTGTGATTGCTAGAGATTACTTGTATTTGTTTGTCTCTCTCTCTTGAACTTTATTTTAGGGTTTGGACTCGATCTACGGTTTGGAGGCATTACGGCGTCAGGGAATGACCCAACATCTTCACCAAATCACAAGAAAGTTGGGTTGTAAGAATATTTATCCGCAAAGTTAAATTTGGCACTGCTTTTGTAGTTCACGTAGGCGTCGGGACTGCTGACGTTTGTGCCGGAACTTCTGACGACGTCGGGAGTTCCGACCCAAACGCCGGGACTTCTGACATTAACTGATAAATTTGAACTTAGTATTTGCAGTTATTTTTTAGATACGTCTATTCACGCCCCTCTAGGCATTGTTAGATCCTTTCAATTGGTATCAGAACTTGGTCTTCTTTTAGCGCTTCACCGCGTAAGAAGAAACAATGTCGGAGTCCGACAAGATGCAAGCCGTTGCCACCGAGATGGCCAAGAAAATAGCTGAAGAGTTGATGTCTGCTCAAGTCAAGTTCTTTCAAGATGAAATGAAGAAGATGCAAGATGAGATGAGCAAGATGAAGGAAGAATTGAGCAAGAAGGTTGATGATGCAATAAGTGGCAAGAATGATACAATAAGTGACAAGAATGAAGCAAACAAAGATGCCGCTAGTGATATTGGAGCCGGTGAGCTTGCTCATGGAAAGGGAATATAGTCAAACATGAGCTTTGACTATGGACAACTCATAAAAGGTTCAACACTACATACTCCGTCCGGCAACATTGGCAAGCCACCTCACTTTGATGGAACAAGATACACCGATTGGTCTTACAAGATGAAGATGCATCTTATTGCCGTAAGACTTTGGGAAGTTGTGGATGTTGGTGTGATGATTCCTACCGATGAGGATAGAGATAACTCCGGAAGAAGCGCACAATCTCCATCAAAATGCACAAGCCGTAGCATTGCTTGTGTCAAGTCTAGCTCCGGATGAGTTTAGAAAAGTAAATGGAATGGAAAGTACAAAATAAATTTGGGATACTTTGAAAGTGTCATTTGAAGGAGATAGAAGTGTGAGAAAAGGCCACATTGAGTTACTTTATGGTGAATTGGAAAGATTTGTGTTCTTGTAAAATGAAACAACACAATCCATGTTTGATAGGCTCATGGTATTGGTCAACCGCATAAGAGCTCTTGAAAGCACCGAATGGGATGACAATAAGGTTGCTAGGAAGATGTTGAGAACCTATAGAGCCAAGAACAACATGGTAGCGTCCGTGATCATGGAAAGGCCCGATTATAATGAGATGACACCCCAAGAAGTTCTTTCAAAACTAAAGCATCATGAGTGTCTAGATGAAGATGCAATCAATGCTCACAATCAAAATCCTAATGCAATGGGATACAACAAGAGTGCAGCCCTTAAAGCAACTCAACAACATGAAGGTCAAGGTTTAAGTCAAGAGAAGAAGAAGAAAGTGAAGGATGATTCCTCAAGTGAAGAAGAAGATTCCGATGCAGATGTTGTATTTGTGATTAGGAATCTTAGAAAGTTTATGAAGAAGAAGAGCAGCCTCAAGACCTATGGTGATAGAAAGAAAAGGTTCAAAAAGAGATTTTGCTATGGATGTGGTCAAACCGATCACTTCATAGTCGATTGTCCTAATGAGAAGAAGTAGCACAAGCATGACAAGGATGAAGACAAGAAGAACAAAGACAAGAAGAGAGGTGAAGCTCATCTTGGGGAAGAATGGGAGTCAAATGATAGTGACTCAAGTGATGATGAGAAGAAGAAGAACGGAGCCGCAAACATCGCCATCCACCACTCTTCTTCACCGACCATGATCTTCCCCAACTCAACTTCACCACCAAAACTCTTCCCCAACCTATCTTCACCACTAAATCTCTTCTCCAACCTCATCGACGACGACTACTACACTCCAACTTGCCTCATGGCAAAAGGGGAGAAGGTACATGTTACACCCGATCCCTCTAGTGATGAGTATGATAGTTGTAATGAGAACATAGAAGAAATTGAAGCAACCATGATAAAGAAATTTGGTAAAAAGGCCTTCACTAAAATAAAAATGCTAATGAAGAAATTAGAGAAGAAGGATAGATGCTTAGAGTTGCAAGGAGATATAATCACTCAAGAGAGAGAGAAACCTTGCACTTGAAGCATCTATCGTCGAGGAAAAGATGAAGGTTGAGAAGTTAACCGTAGAATTGTATTTAGCCAATAACTCAATTGGGAAATTGACTAAGGAATATTCCTCGGTTAATGATCAAGTAGCTAGCCTCAAGAATGAGAAGAGTATAGCTCAAGAAAGCCTCACAAGCTTGAAAGAAAAATACCGAAATCTTGAGCTAAACTATAGTACTCTTTGGGCTAGCACTTCAACTTCTCTTAAGGCAACCGAAGACTCTAATGTCTCCACTAGCAATGGTTGTGAAAGATGCTATAAAATTGATGTGAATGCATATACAACTAACCTTATTGAGTTAGAGAAGAAAGACAAGGAGATTCATAGGTTGAAGATGATCTTGAAGAATGGGTGCAAGTGTCAAGAGCAATCCAACAAGACTATATACAAGTCATCAAGGCACCCATCAATCAAGGAAGGCATTGGCTATAATAGGTATGATGGAAAGGCCAATGGAAGGAACATGATCAATGGTGTGCCTTGTGTGAAGTTCAACAAGGGTGTTGCTCTTGATGAGCTTATATGCAAGGCCAACAACAAGGTCTACATTCCAAAGATCCAACCTACAAGTAACAAGACAATCAATACGAAGCAATCTGAGGCCCCCAAGCCACAAGCACCACTTCCACGGTGCTATGCTAGTGACTATATGTGTTGTTGGGGCAACGATGGCAAGATTGTGGTTAAGTATGTTGGTGCCCAAAAGAGAAAGAAAATTATGAGGATTGTTTGGGTGCCTAAGTTTTATGTGACTAACCCCCTAGGACCCAAATCTTTTTGGGTACCTAAAACAAAAGCTTAATTTGTCTTTGTAGGAATATTCCTCCGGTGGAACAAGTTGGGTGTTGGATAGTGGATGCACCAATCATATTACCGGAGAGAAGGACATGTTCACATCATTCCAACCAAAGTCATAATCAAAGTGGGAATATTGTGTTTGGTGACAATAGAAAAGGAGAAGTCCTTGGTTTGGGTAAAATTGCTATATTAAATGATAATTTCATTTCAAATGTTTTACTTGTAAATTCGTTGAGATACAATTTGTTGTCCGTCTCACAACTTTATGAGATGGGTTACAATTGTCTCTTTACGGATAAGGGTGTGGAAGTCTATAGAATAGAGGATTCCTCTATTGCATTTATGGGTCATTTAAAAGGGAAACTCTATCTAGTTGATTTCACATCAAATAGAGTAAATCCCGAGACTTGTTTAATGGTAAAATCTAGCATGGGTTGGTTATGGCATCGCCGACTTGCCCATGTTGGGATGAGGAACTTGGCCAAACTTTAAAAAGGCAAACACATCCTTGGACTAACAAATGTTTCTTTTGAGAAAGATAGGATTTGTAGCGCATGCCAAGCGGGAAAACAAGTTGGAGCTAAACATCCCGTCAAGAATGTTGTGACAACCGAAAGACCATTGGAGTTGCTTCACATGGACATATTTGGACATGTCGCTTATATAAGCATTGGTAGTAACAAATATGGTATTGTAATTGTTGATGATTATTCTCGTTTCACTTGGGTATTCTTTTTGCGTGAAAAGAGTGAAGTCTAAGGTATCTTCAAGAAGTTTGAAAGAAGACCCCAAAATGAGTTTGATGTCAAAATTAAGAGAGTTAGAAGTGACAATGGGACGGAGTTCAAGAACACCAACATTGAAGAGTTTCT